ACAGAAACAGCTGAAATAGACTTTTTTTACGATCCATATTCCAACTGTTTCTCCAGTACAGGGTTGGATCTTGTCCCAGGCGACACCGAGCACAAGAGGTTGGGTCAACTAATAAAACGGCCCCCAATCATATATAATCACACACTACAGGCGTCTGGGCCGTGCAGAAATGTTTCGAGGGTCAGGCACTAGGTATGTTTTGCCGGCCTGTGTGTGTGTGTGGGGGGGGGGATTTTTGTCTGACCATCAGTTGTTGAAAAGGGGCATTTAGAACCTCAAAAGGGAGCGGGGGGGATTTCAATTGTTTACGGTAAAAGAGCAGCTGCTCAGGCACCCTCAGCCACCCCCCCTCCATATTACGTGCCGGACGGGGCATCTTTGAGCTGACGGAGACAATCAGAGCATAGGCAGAGACCTGCAGTCAAACCCCTAACACACAGCTACCTTCCACACAACCTGAAGCCAGATTTATATAGAACATATACTTCTGCACAACAGGATTCAAACTCGGAGTATTTTTACTTCTCCAGTTGGCAGGTTGCTCCTATGTGAATTACATTTTTTTTTTTTTTTTTTTACTCGTTTTTATGGCTGGACATTTTACAGGAGCAGTTCAAGGTTAAGTACCTCTCTTATGGTGCAGCTGCGGAGTTTCTCCTTGGACTGGGCCGCAACTTCACCTCGGGCGTCCTTATTCTTCACCGTCTCACTTGCCCTAAAAGTTCTGCAGCCTGCCTGTCAAACACCTTGCTCTTTGCAGGTTGGAACCGGGCGATTTTATTGGGCACCTTTATTGTCTGAGAAACTGGACTTAAAAGAAATAGAGGCACAGAACCCACAAGAACCGGCCCATCGCTTCTGAACCCTTCCCCAACTTTAAACAATTCTCAGTTAATTACAGGTAAATATAAGAGCTTATCTCCCACCTGACTGCTGCCCAAAACATCCATCCCTTCCCACATACCAACCTTTTTCTTTTTGCATATCTGAGTTATAGCTGTTCACAAACGTCTCCCGGCATGAATAGAAGAGCGATTTATGATTTCAGCCGCAAGCGCTGCTATCAGGCAGAAGCAGATCATCAAGTGAGGAAAACTAAAGGTTGGGCTGAATTTTCCGTTCGCCCTTTAGCACATTTGGGGTGGGTGGGGGGTGTGATGCTGTTTGCTGCAGCACGATGATACCGCGATTCTGGGCTTTACCGCACGATTGCTTGGCAACGCGATTCCCCGGACCTCCAGCTTCCTGGGAGTCCCGCGAACCCCCGTTAGCGTAATTGCTACATAAATTATGTGGCACTCGGGAGACGCACTGCGACCCCCCTGCCAGCCCTTTGATGCATTGCCTGTGTGAACGTTAAAAGGGGAATTAAACAGACCGTGAGCTGAGGTCTCCTTGTTCTCTGGCGCACCACGGTAAAGGCGTCTCTCGTTTGTAAATTTCTTATGTTCTTATGTTTCCACCTCTCCGCTCTCCTGAAAATCCGCAAAAACGCCAGCTGGTGTTTGAAAACACAACATGAACGATCTGTGAAATAGCTAATACCGAAAAATTATTTAGGAAATCATCCTCCAAAGTATACAAAATCATGGGTTCAAGTTTTCTTTTCTCGCCCAACGCCTGTTTCTAACAGTATTCTCATTAATGTATTTGTTAACTGCGGAATTCCAAAAAAAAAAAACCTTTCAAAAGTCATTCGTTTTCGTCCGTTTTTCCTGAATGATAGCTATAGAGCCAACAGAAGCAATTTGGACTTGGATCCCCTTGGGGGCTGTTGACCTAAATTAGCATAACTGATCTGTAGAACATCTATTTCCTCGGTGGCAGTAGTAATAATAATCACGATAATGAAAAACGGCTCCTCGCCGCTGTCAAAACTGTCAGGCTCTGAGTGATACTCTGCGCGCCCACGGGATGCAGGCGGGGCTCAGCGGACGCCTGGTTGGTACTGAAAGCACCAAAGCTTCAGCAAACCAGTCTGGGCTGAAACTCTGGAGAATAAGCGTGTATCAGTTTGGCTCGTAATTTAAAGCAAGCTCACAAATTATATGCTATAGATATTTAATGCACAAAAAATGATTTTCCACTCCAAATTTAGCAGAGCAGATGAATAACGCGTGATAACATATTTTCAGCATTTAAAAAATATATAAATATATAACCTATAGTATTTTACAGCACATATTCACTTACGCAAACCTTAGTTAATCTATTATGGGATTTCGAAGAAGAGATTTATATTTGTGCTAAATCTTTGTCCTTAAAATACGTTCTTTGTCCTTCCGACGACATGGCATGGTTAGACCTATATGTCTTCTGAATTATACCCCCTATAATTGCTAACTGGCCCAATCAGCTCCGGGGTTTGCATAAAACCTGCAATTAAGTTTACGGTCCCCCATATAGTCTCACATTCTGAAGCTGCACAAGAGAAATAGGCTTGTGCTATTGGAAACATGCTTGCAGTAAACGGCCTCTGGGGGACGCTGACGATGTCTGAAATTCACCACATAAATCAGCGCCAGTTAACACGCGTCGCCCTCGGGCTTTTCCGCCTCTTCATCGGCGACTCTCCCGTCGCATCGTGACCTTTTAGGAGCTGATGTTTATGCCAGGAGAAAACAGAGGCTGCAAAGATGAAGGCATACATCGTTTATGAGCTATGTCCCAGATTTTACGCCTTCTTATTTTTTACGTGACAATTAAGAACGGGCCTTCACGTAAATCGAATGAAATCAATGGGAAAATCATCGTACAGTTGTTGAAAACCTCGAATGCACTAAGCTGCCCTGTTCTCAAAGGAGGAATGCCTTAATTTAGCGCTGAGAGTGTTACTGTAACATCCAGCGTTGAACTTTAACACTCACATTTTGCAAAGCACGGTCACAAATAGGCCTATTTGTGGGAAGACGCAGTATTCGGAATGATCGTTCTTGATAATAATAATAATGGATTTACCCATATCAGGAAGAATGCGAAATTAATCTAAAATTAGGCTACCTTGAGTTATTAATTATCATGCCCTGCTCGCCCGATCCTCCCGTGTGCCACGTCACCTCGTGTGGAATCCCCGTGTTACCAGCTGTTTCTCATTGTTGTTAATTAGTCTGATGTGTTTCAGTTCGCGTTCGAGTATGTTTCCTCAGTCTGGTCATTGACGTTGTGTTGTCGTTTGGTCCTGCTTGTCTGCCTGTTTGATTAAACCCCGAGTTCACCTGTTTCCTCGGTCCTTGTTCCCCGCGTTCCGTAACAATTGATGGCATTTGTTTCTGCCTGGTTAGTGTTCATCCATGAAAAGGAAAAGTCAGCACTGCGTATTACCATTTGCAAGCCGGGGATATGCACAGAAAAGCTCTAAATACATGCCCCAGAGCCGCCCATGTAGCATTCAAGCTGAATGCTACATTTTACTGTTCAATAAGGCTACCTGTGTGAGATGCGAAGGTGTTTTATATGGCTCAAACTCGGCGGGCCTGGGATATTTCGCTCCTGGTTGCCCGCCATAACCGCCACTTGCACGTATATGAATATGAATTTCCGAATATCATTTCACAAAAGAAGCTAATTTCTTTCCCTTCAAAAACTTCCCCCGAATCAACTTAGTTGCTTCTGAAACAAACCAGAATGCACCGATAAATTGCCCAATAAACTGCACGTAAACGCCGCTTTTTGACACTCACATCCAGACTTAATACTATGCGAACACTTCATCGTCTCTTTTACTCAAAATATTTTGCCGATATCTTATTCAGTGTCCTTAAACGGTTATTATTATTATTACTGCGGCCCTTTGGGTGTTTTCCATCCGTGCGCGCGGTGTTTCTCGTGTACTGGGAGCCCCAGCAACAAAAAAAGTCATTCTGTTGCGCGACCTTAATTTCACCAGTTCTTAATTTCACCAGTTTTCAAGACCACAGGTGGTGATTTTGTAAAAGTGGATACAAAATACTTGTATACCTAATTAGCTGCCGTTTATAACTGAATTAATAAAAATCTCCATTACAAACAAATCTTTGAAGAGGAGTGAGATTTTTCATGCCTGCGAACGCCCGGTTACGCACCTATACCTTATAGCCAAGGAATATTTTACCGAGACTGCTCCGTCCGTTCGCTGCATTAAGTTAAATAACCATACGATTAAACAATACTGGTTTTGCTTTACCTCGATATTACTCTCGGCTTCACAAATAACATTCTCGCGCAACTAATTTCGATTTCCTTAAAAAAGAGGAAAAGAAATTCCTTTCCAAACAAATCAATAAGCGCTGGTTAATAACTGAGGAACAACTAATCAGTAGGGCAGAAGAGGACGCAAATGAAGACTGTTACTTATAAACCCGTTCATATGACACCACAATATAAAAACCATAATATAAAGACCGATATATAGTACAGAATTGACACAAATAAAGGAGATGTGAACCGAAATGCACGTATTAATATTCATAAGTCCTTTATCTCATACGTTTCGGAGTCGTCGCGAAATGAAAAGTTTACATTACACGGTAGAACAACGCGAAGTACATGACGGAGAACAATCAAGTACTGTCTCGCGCTACTTGCGCTAACTCAGTCATTTCTTAAATAAAATTACACGATTCTAGACAGAACTTCCCATTCTTGACTGTACTACAAAAACACAAAGTGGCCGTATTTCACCAATTGTTTTTCGCAATTTCGTATAAAAAGCCCAGTATGTATGTGAACAATGTGCAGAACAGATATACGTCGATCCAGCAAAGCGCTTCGGATTCAGGTTCCACGAGCAGCTGTAACGCACCTGATTCCGTACATAGTTTAATTTAAAAATCATTTAAGTCCATACTTCAAAAGATTAGTTAAAAAAACTCCCAAACGTATACAGTAGCAATAGGTTCATTCCACTTGCCTATAAGCAGATTTTCAGCTAACACATTTCTCAATGTCAATAAGAATATTGGAAGATCACTTTAAGTCTTGCACCGATAGGGCCGACGTTTCATTTTTAGCCTAAAAGTTACCTTTTCTCTTAGAGCGTCTTCTCCGTTTCAGCCTCCGTTTCAGCTGGGCGCCCGGATGTCCCGGNCTTCTGCGTTTCAGCCTCCGTTTCAGCTGGGCGCCCGGATGTCCCGGGCTGCGAGTGCCGTTTCCCAGAGTGGATGCCATGCAAGCGGCACTGTTTGAATTCAGATGATCCGCTTCCCCCCTTTCCTCACGAAGAGTTGTGTAGCTGCGTCTGTCTTGCCTGGGAGTCTGTGTGGGGAGTGTCAGCGCTCCGTCGGGCACTTTCTCTCCGCGGCGATCCTACCCGGACCTTTCTTTCGCCTTTGGATCTCTTTTGACGCACGGAGCTCCTTCAGCGCCGGTATGCAGGGAGCCGATCTCCCCGTCGCCGCTCATTCTAATTAGACCAGATCATGACGAGCTCCAAGTTGTGACATCAGCACCAGTACTACCAACCCGAGCCATCACCCTCCCTCACACGTGCCAAACCCCCCGACACACACACACACACACACACACACACACCCGTCCAGCCCTTCGATTCCCACCGTCACTTTGCAAACTCAGCTCCTAGACTGAGGCTGAAAATACGCGAAATTGAACGGATAAAAAAGTATTACATCTGCTATTATGTTTCTTAAATGAAATGTCTTGTATTCATGTAGGCTATTACAGTATAATGTAAGATGTAATCGATCCATGATATGAAACGTACTGCATGTCACACCAACCCACTGTAAAAGTAAGTTATCCAATATTGCAGTATCCCTGCCATACAATAACAATATTACAATAACTTTAAATTACAAAAAAAGAAAAAAAAAGTTTTTAATGGGTTATTCATGAGGAAGGTTGTTGTTCCGTTATGTAGGGAGACATATTACACAAAAGCAGAGAGTAATGAACATTTGTAACTTATAGCTGGTAAACCAATAGCCACAAACCTTTATGTGCTGACTACCAGGGCTGTGTTTAGGCCTACATAGGATGGGATACAAAGATGGACCGCTAACTTGAGTACCACTGTTAACCAGGTCCTTAAGTTGGCAACAATATGGCATCATTTTCCGTGATTTGCATTTATTTATTTAGCAAACGCTTTTATCCAAGGCAATGGCTGGAACACTGGGGGGGTTGAGGTCTCCACCCATTACGGGGGAAACATGATTATTGGGGGGGTTGTATTAGTTGGTTTTGATTTATTGGGGGGGAGGGACAACTATGTCGGCCACAGGATTTAAACTAGTGACAGTGGCGGTTCTAGACTATTTCAACTGGGGGTGGGGGGCAGACTGGGTCCAGTTTTTCTGTTGGGGGGGGGGGCAGATGCATTGGTGCATTAGACCTTAAAGTCCTCCAAGTTTACTTACACTAGATTGTCAGCATTCAGAAGAAAACGACAGTTTTGAAAACCTCTAAGTTATTGATGCAGTGCTTTGTAGCTACATTCTGCAGTTTTACAAATATGTAACTCACTCTGATTTCTTGTTTAGACAGTCTTGCTTCCACAAACTTGATTATTTATTTTTCTGTCGTTAACTTTGCTTTTCACCAACTGAAGTAACCACATGCACCAGGCTACAAGAGGCCCACGAGCACCAGGCTACAGGAGGCCCACGAGCACCAGGCTACAGGAGGCCCACGAGCACCAGGCTACAGGAGGCCCACGAGCACCAGGCTACAGGAGGTCCACGAGCACCAGGCTACAGGAGGCCCATGAGCACCAGGCTACAGGAGGAGCCTGATTGTATGCCCTCATTCTAAGGGCAACACATGTTAGCCCACATAGGAGGAGAGAGGTAAGGTAAGAAGCTTGCGCTGATTACAGCGTGTTACCACACCCACCGTACAACAAACCACCTCAGGGATGAGAACCCAAGTACAGTGGGTGATACCTCAGCGCCNCCACGAGCACCAGGCTACAGGAGGCCCATGAGCACCAGGCTACAGGAGGAGCCTGATTGTATGCCCTCATTCTAAGGGCAACACATGTTAGCCCACATAGGAGGAGAGAGGTAAGGTAAGAAGCTTGCGTTGATTACAGCGTGTTACCACACCCACCGTACAACAAACCACCTCAGGGATGAGAACCCAAGTACAGTGGGTGATACCTCAGCGCCGCACTAGTCTGAATGGCGCTGAACAGTGTGAGTTTTCTTCCAGTGGCTGGAGAGCCAATCCTGCCACCAACCCCCAAGTCATTCCCTGTAAGTTGGAGGACCTGCTTGCAGGGCTGGATGTAGCCCAAGACAAAGTGATTGCAGGTTAAGGGCCTTGCCCAGGAGCCTAACAGAGTAGGATCACTCCTGGCATTCACAGGATTTGATCCAGCAACCTTCCCTAGCCTCAGAGCCCACATATATAAATGTAAATAATAATACATTTATTATAGACCCAAGTAGCATAGACATTTAGGGAGCCACAGAGGGGGCCATTGATTGCCCCCCCCCCTGCAGCGATCTTCGGATTACAGACACGGAGTCCTAACCAGCAGTCATCAGAACAGTAACTTGAAAGCAAACATGCTCCTTCGATAGCTCAGTTGGTAGAGCGGAGGACTGTAGAGGTGGCACTGACATCCTTAGGTCGCTGGTTCGAATCCGGCTCGAAGGAGTTCGGTTACATTTATATCCCAGCATCAGCAGACTGATTTCACTGTTGGGCTCCAGGCCCTTAACCTCCAAATGCTCCAGGGATAGTCTAACCCTGCGTGCTTAAAAATGTAAGTCGCTTTGAATAAAAGCATCTACTAAATAAATAAAATATAAATTAACGGTCTGATCCTCGACGGTATAGTTTGCTCTCCCAACTTTTTTCTGCCTCCCACACATGCAAACCCATGAATAACTGTATGTGACTTCTTGAAAACTTTCAGCGATAACGCTTTTGGGATGTGCCCCCAAAAAGACCCCAAGCATGGGAATTTTTTTACCCCGGTTTCAACGCCCCACAGCCGTCGCGCGCAACGAGTCTCGACAAGGCGGCATTTCGGCGGCGCAGCGGTCTAGGGCGCTCTTTCAGGCGGCATTAGTTTGCTCCACCTCACGGCCACGGACGTTCCTCCGCCCCCTGCCAGGATAAGTAAGGTTAGGTATACCGGTTATGCGCTGGGCTGCCACAGTCATTTAAGGTCTCACTGACACAAAACGAAAGATTGGTGGACCTCAGCTCTTTGAAAATGGAGTGCTACACAAAGCAAATAAGAACATGTTTATGACTAAGTGCTCAGAAAAATATCTGAAAAATATATTAAACTGCATACATAAAATCAACAACCAAACAAGCAAACATGCAGATAAAATAGATCATAACAAAACAGTGCCGTTACCCCTAACAATAATTGCATGGTTTCTAAGAAAGTTAAATGTTTAATAAAAGACATTGTATGTGAACACAATAAATAATATTGTAATTTAACATCAAGCTCGATGTAACATACGAGCTCATATAGCCGTCACGGGCTGCTGTCCGTGGTGCTGACAGATCCTCGTTCACTCTTTTCGTCTGTAGTTTTGTACTGTGCCCCGTATCCTTGTGATGCTGCGCATGGCATCTTGTTTTTGACCTGTGAAATTGGAGAGAAATATGCACGTGCTAATTAGTCACATATTTCATAGGGCTTCTCAGGCACTGTGCTAGTTCGTCTCGTCACTCCGTGCATTCGTCTTCAAACACTCCCCGTCTTTGTCTTCGTCGGCCGCTTTCGTGAGCTCTGTCAGGTGCAATACTGACACTCTCCGGAAAAAAAACAAGAAGTATGTGAGATGCACAAAATATAGGCCTATATTTCGCAACCCATCTGTGATCCTCTGTGCGATCACGTGTGTGCAGTCTGTGATGCGCGGTTTTGAAACCCACTTTATGAAACCCACAGTTTTGAAACCCACTTTATGAAACCCACAGTTTTGAAACCCACTTTATGAAACCCACAGTTTTGAAACCCACTTTATGAAAGGAAAGTATGTCAAATATTCAAGAACTTGTTTTTTTTTTTTAATTGTAGCCAATAGTTTTATGTTTTCTTGAAGTTTCCTTAAATTTCTTTCATTTGCAATTACCTCTTATTATCTTTGTCATCAGTCAACTGAACATCCGCGTAAACATCCTAATTGTAATCGTTGCAATTACGGCTATGCATTAGTGTGTAAGCGACGAGAACAATCCTCATTTTCTGCCCATAACTGTGCATCCACTGAAAGTAATGATTCTGCGTCATGTGCAGCTGGAAAGAGCATGGGCATAGATTTGCATGTGGATGGGACGGTAGAGACATGCCCCTACCAATATTGTGGGAGTATNTGGAACAGATTTGTTCCCTATAGCAATGTTGAAGCCAAGCATATGCCTTTGAGTCAAAGAGATTTCGGCCTGTCCCGAAATGCCGTTTAGTCGCCTTAGTTTACGTGTAGATACATGTCTTTGAACTCTACGAGAAGGACGAGGCTTCAGCCATCGATCAGGCACAGCTATTCGGGCATTTGACAGCAGCACACACGTTCACCAGACATCGCCCGACCCGGAAGACATTTTACCGTACTGAACAAATGACTGATTGCCATTTTCTTTTTAATTAGTGCTTGAAGGCAGTAAGTGTTTGTGATTAAATAACCAATGATTATACAAAGTCAACAACCATGAATATAACAGCTCTTTACTTTCTTGAACTGTGCTCGAAGTGTCCCCATGAGATATAATTAAACATATATGGGTTTGTCTGAGCCTCTGCAGAAGGCACAGAACCTGCTTATCTAGACTGCCATTTATTTTCTACAGTAAGGTGTATAGACTACCTAAACAAGAGTCACCTAATTAATTAGAGCAGTGTGAACAAGAAGGATAAACGTGTTACGAGATTATGACAGCAGAATGAGACTTAAGCCTATTGTATAATATGGTGACGTGCAATAAATTGTAATGATTTTTTAAATTAGACTTTTCTAGCTGGTTTGTGTCCAGTGTTTTTTCAGATTTGTATGTTTTTAACAATATCGCTGCAAAACAATCAATTTAAACGCCATTTGGATTTGAGCGTTTTAACCTTGCAGTTCTACCTAGCAGCTTAATTTCGAATGTGAGCTGCAAGGCTTTAAACATTACGGATATCGGGACGACATTCTGCAGCAAGTCACCGGTTAAGGCCAATCAGGTTGCGATGGATAGGGCTTGCAGGGTCTGAAGTTTTAAGCCCCTCCTACTGGACTGTCAGGGAACAGCAGCCCCTCCTACTGGACTGTCAGGGAACAGCAGCCCCTCCTACTGGACTGTCAGGGAACAGCACCAGGGCCCACCTTGTAATGTGTAAACAAAGCAATCGTTTTGGCGGGAGTGCATCAGCTGGGCTAGAGGCATACTTAGACAGGGGTACAGGGCAGTGTGTGTGTGTGTGTGTGTCGGGGGGGCTGAGACACTCAA